CATCGGGCTGTCGCCAAACCGCCCGCGACCTCGGCCGATCCGCGAGATCGCGGGCGAGGACGACGACGACGCCGCTCGCGACGACGACGCGCGCGACGCGACGACGTCGAGAAGACGAGACGCGCGGACGCCGAGCGACATCGCGCGCGACGGCGTGCGGCGCGGCGCGCGGTCGTGCTGCGACGTGTCCGTGTCCACGCCGCGCCGCGCGCCGAACTGAGAAAAAACGGATTTCGCGAACAGAATATTCGCGCCATCACCGCAGTGCGAGGCGCGCGCGGCATGGGGTGCGCGGCGAGCGCGGCGGCGACGGCGCTCCCGCCGCCGCCGCCGCCGCGCGCGGATCGCGTCGACGCCGAGACGTCCCGCGAGCCGCCGCCGCGCGCGGATCGCGTCGACGCCGAGACGTCCCGCGAGCCGCCGCCGTCCACGCCGTGCGGCGGCCCGCCGCCGCCGCCGTCGTCGTCGCGGCTGTTCGACGCGATCCGACGGTCGCGCCGATCGTCGAGCGACGCGAGCGCGTCGTCGTCTCGCGCGTCGTCGTCGTCGTCCTCGCCCGCGATCTCGCGGATCGGCCGAGGTCGCGGGCGGTTTGGCGACAGCCCGATGACGCACGTGCGCGACGACGCGTACTACGCGTCTCGGCTCGCGCACCGCGCGCGGCGGCGGCGGCTCGATCACGACGACGACATCGACTGGCGCGACGACGACGACGGCGGCGGAGGAGGAGAGGAGGGCGGGGCGATCGAGCGAGCGACGAAGACGAAAAACGCCGACCGCGGTGGAATTACGAGCGCTTCTTCGTCTTCTTCCTACTCGCCGCGCGGCGGCGACGGCATCGCCCCGGCGTGGCGCGCGTCCGACTGCGTCGCGCTCGCGGAGGTCAAGGCGCACCACGGCAAGGACGCGGAGGCGCTCGTCCTCCTCGGCCGCGCGCTCGACGCGCTGCGCGTTGAGAAGGGCGACGCGCACGACGACACGCTCGCGTGCGCGAAAAGAGTCGCGACCGCGTTGAGAAAAGTCGCCGACGCGTCGTCTCGCGCCGAGCTCGAAGACGTCGTCGTCTTCGCGCACGACGCGCTCGTCGCGCGGCACGGCGCGAAAGACGCGCGGACGCTGAGCGCGGCGCACGACGTCGGCGTCGTCATGCGCGAGTCGGGGCGAACGCGCGACGCGATCGCGTGGTTCAAGACGTGCGTCGAGGGGAGGGCGGAGGTTTTAGGCGACGCGCATCCGCTGACGTTGAGGTGCGTTCTATCTCACACTGGTTCCCATACGACCGCGTCGGTGTGGTGAACGCGATTCCTTAAGGACTTTTCCCGGCGCATCTCTCCGCCCACCCCTCGCTTTCAATCCCCACCCTCGGCGCCTTTCAACTTCAACTGACGCCTTTGAACTCCACCCCGCCATCGCCTTGTATGGAACGACCCTGAGAACGGCGAGCGATACGGCGGAGGCGTTGGAGGCGGCGGGGATGACGGAGCTCGCGGCGACGATGGCGAGGAGCGCGATCGCGGTCGCGGAGGAGATTTATGAGGGGAGCGCGCGGGGGGAGAAGGCGTTGGGGGAGGTGACGCGCGCGAGGGAGGTGTGCGCGAGGTGCGGGGAAGGCGCGGTGGCGCGATAGTAGTATTTTTTTTCAACGAGGTTGAAGCGTATTTTCGTCGGGGCGCGTCTCAGTCGTCGCGCTGGCGCTTCTTCTTTCGACCTCGAAGGTTGCACTGCGGGCAATCGCTGGGTCTGACACTCGTCGTCGTGCGACTGTACATCCATGCTCTCCATTCGTGCTCGCAGGTCTCACACTTCCACAGCGCCTTGTATCTCGACGCCTTCGTAACTTGCGTCGGCTCCCTGTCGGGGTCCACGTACTCTCTCAGGAGCTTCTTGCCTCGGTCGCCGTTGGCGTTACACCACGTGAGGAAATTGTTGGAATTACTCATCGGCTTTCGCGGCGTTTTATTCGCGCACTTCGGACACCCGCTGGGTCTGACGCTCCTCGTGCGGTTGTCCATCCTCGCCCTCCACGCCTGCTTGCACTTCAAACACTTCCACTTCGCCCTGTAGTTCGTCCTAAACGTCAGCTCCGTCGGCAGCTTCTCCGGGTCCCTGAACTCCCGGAGGAGCGTCTTCCCGCGCTCTCCGTTCTCCATGCACCAGTCGAAGAACGGCTTGCCAACGCGCGGTATGGTCGTCGTCGTCGACGCGTGTCGCGCGCGGGCGAAGAGTGACGACGAAAAGCCACGACGCGCGCGCGTCCCCAACCAACCAGCGTTTCTCGGCAGCTCCGAGGCGATGTTAACTTTCAAACCGGCCTCTCCGAAAACTCCGACCGCGAAAAGTTCGTGAAAAGACCCCCGCTCGCGCCCCACGCGCCCACTCGACCGAGCGCGGCCCTCACCGCGCCTCGTCGAGCTCGCTCGCTCGCGCATGGCGTCGTGCGCGACGCGCGCGCTCGCGCCCGCGCCCGCGCCCGGCCGCGGCCGCGACGCGTCGTCCTCCGCGCGCCGCGCGCGCGCGTGCCGCCCCGGCGCGAGCGGCGCGCGTTCGAAACTCACCATCTTTGAGACGCGCCGCGCGGGGGCGATAACGCAAATGCTTCGCGCGTCGCCGCGGCGGGCGCCCCCGCGCGGCGGCGGCGGCGGCGGCGCGTCGTGGGGCGCGCGCCGCGCCCGCGCGCCTCTCGCGCTTCCGACGATCTTCTCCCCGCCGTGGACGAAGGACGAAGAGGGCGCGGACGACGACGACGACGACGACGACGACGACGACGACGACGCGCTCCCGGGAGAAGACGACGACTCGTCGAGCAGCTCGGTGGACGACGACGACGACGACGGCGACGACGTCCTGACCCACTTCTACCCGAGCGACGAGCGCACGCGCTCGATCCACACGTCCCTCCTCGCGTCCTCCGACGAGCTCCGCGGCCTCGACGCGAGCAAGCCGCGGAAGCGCGTCATCATCCGCGCGCTCAGCGCGCGCGAGACGCACGCGGCGGCGACGTGCGCGGTTCTCCTTCTCGCGTTCGCCGCGACGTTCGCGCTCTCGCCCGTCCCGCCCCATTCGCTCCCGCGCGCGCACTGGTCCGTCGTCCCCGCGACCGTGGACCTCACCGCGGGAGGGATCATCCGGCTGCTCGACTACGCCGGGACCGCGGTGTTCGCGCACGCGGGCGCGCTGCAGGCGGGCAAGCGCGGCATGGACGCGTTGGGATGCGTGATCGTGGGATGCGTCACCGCGCTCGGCGGGGGGTCGGCGCGAGGCGTCTTCGTGGGCGAGCCGGGGGGGGTTTTCTGGGCGTGCGAACCGATTTATCTGCGCATCGCGGTGGTCGCAGCGGCGGTAACGTTCGCCGCGTGGCCGTTTATCGACGGGAAGATCGTGAACCGGCGGCTCGCGCGTAGGGTCATGAACTGGCTCGACGCGATCGGGATCGGGACGTTCGCCGTCGTCGGCGCCAGCAAGGTACGAACTTTCGCGGCGCGAACCGCGACCGCCACACGATCTGCCACGTCATCAAGTATCGCGCCTCGCTCACCAATCGTTTCCTTCCACGCGTCACCACCCACCCAACCGCACCGCGCCAGGGCATGCTCCACGGCGGCGGAGACCCGCTGATCGCCGTCGCGTGCGGCGTCTTCACCGGCTCGTTCGGCGGCGTGATTCGCGACGTCCTCACGGGCGCGCCGCCGCGCATCCTCTACTCGCATCAGGCGCGTTCGTATTCACACTAGTCCCCGTGCGATCGCGCCGGCGCGGTGCACGCCGATCCTTAAGGAGTTTCGTTTCCCGGCGTTCGTCTCTCTCCGCCCATCACCCCTCGGTTTCAATCCCGACGCGCCTCGACGCCTTTCAACTCCGCCTGACGCCTTTCAACTCCACCCCGACGTCGCTTTGAACGACGGACCCTCGACCCTCAGAGCGCGTACGCGTCCGTCGTCGCCGTCGGCGCCGCGGTCTACGTCGCGCTGTCGTGCGTCTTCCCCTCTCCGGAGACGCTCCCGACGGCGTTGCGGCTGTTCGCGCCCGTGGCGATCGTCGTCGCCGCGCGGAGAGAGGCGTGGACGCGGGGGTGGCGGCTGCCGTCGTACGACGAGCGCGGCGCGGGCGCCGTGGACGCGACGCGGTCGGAGGCGGCGGCGATCGATACGAGGGCGAAGAAGAAGGACGGCGTCGTCGCGGCCGGGCCGGCGTCGCCGTGGTCGTGGCCGTCGAGCGGCGGGCGGGGCGCGAGGTGAGCGAGCGAGCGAGGGGGCGGAGGGGGCGGAGGGGGCGGAGGGCGAAAGCGCCGGTCGCCCCCCCCGACGCGCCCATCATGTATCATCATTCAGGCGCGTCCCATACACTGGTCCCCATACGACCGCGTCGGCGTGGTGAACGCCGATCCTTAAGGACTTTGCCCGGCGCATCTCTCCGCCCACCCCTCGCTTTCAATCCCCGACCTCGACGCCTTTCAACTCCTACTGACGCCTTTCAACTCCACCCCGCCATCGCTTTGTATGGAACGACCCTCAGTTGTACGCTTCGACGACGGCCGTCGCCCGCGCGCGCCCCGCGACGCCCTACTCCGCGCGCGCCTCTACGCGTCCACCTCCTCGAACGACAGCATCGCGTTCTTCGTCTTGTCCTTCTTCTTCTTCTTCTTCTCCACCCCCCCCCCCCCGCCGCTATTTCCGCTCGCCGTCGGGCTCGGGCCGTTCTATACAAAGCGATGTCGGGGTGGAGTTCAAAGGCGTCAGTTGGCGTTCAAAGGCGTCGCGGTCGGGGATTGAAAGCGAGGGGTGGGCGGAGAGATCCGCCGGCAAAAGTCCTTAAGGATCGGCGTCCACCACGCGAACGCGGTCGTATGGGAACCAGTGTATAGAACGCACCTCGAGCTCGGCGCGAAGCTTCTCTCGCCTAATGCGCTCGCGCTCCCGCCGCGCGTCCGCCGCCGCGCGCTCGATCGCCACCTCCCTCGCGACCGCGGCGTCGAGCTTCTCCTTCGCGTACGCCTCCGGGTCGCGCTCCGCGCGGATTCGCTCCGCGAACCCGCGCTTCCGCGCGTCGTAGTCCTCCTTCGTGAGGAGGCCGCTGTAGCGCTTCCCGTCGTTGACGCGATCTTCCTGAGTGTCCTTCCGCGCGGCGAACTCCATCTCGCGCTCCTCGCGCGGGGCCTCGTACTCGTTCCCGCTGCGCTCCATGGCGACGAGGGGGGCGGGGGGGGGAGGAGATGCCGCGGCGCGTGCCTCGCGGCGCGCGGCGGCGGTGTGACGGCGCGAGAACAGCCGACTCGAACGATGATCGTTCGACGCGCGCGGTCGGCCGTCACGTCGGCGTGCGTTTCGTCGAAAACGCAGACGGAACGAACGGGTAGATGCGCGCGAGCCGCGCGCCAGATCGCGACGCGCCGCGACGCATGGCGCGTCTCGCGGAGGACGCGGCTCGACGCCGCGGCCGTCCCGCGGCGCCGCCGTTCGGCGCGATGTCCGTCGCGAACTTCTTCGCGACGACCCTAAACCCCGCGAGCGGCGGCGGCGTCGGGAGCGCGTGGACGAGACCGCACCAAAGTCATCCCACCGCTTCGAATAACAACGGCGGCAACGGCACCGGTGATGGACCGCTCGACGCGCTCGTCTCGTCGTCGTCCGCGCGGCCGACGCGAGAGCGCGACGCGCACGCCGCGCGCGTCGTCTTCGACGCGGACGACTTCGGCGTCGCCGGGCGCGACGGCGCGCGCCGCGTCCGCATCCGCGCGCGGCTCGCGGCGTCCGACGACGACGGATTCGCGGGGGCGGCGCGCGAGGCGTCGTCCTCGCCGCTCGTAGTCGGGGCGAAGTTCGAGACCCCGGCGCGGCGGACGCGACGGATGGGCGCCGCCGCGGATGCGGTCGCGCGCGTCGAGCACGGCGTGAGCCCGACGCGCGCGGCGGACGCCGTCGGGAAGAAGCGCGCCGGCGGAAGCGCGACGACGACGACGACGACGACGACGACGACGACGCCGCGACGCCGCGGCGGCGCCGGCGGAAGCGCCGGAGGCTCGAGCATCCGCGCGTCGTCCTCTTCTTCGCCGTCGCTCGCGTCCGTCGCGCGGTCCGTGGGCGGCGACGACGGCGCGACGCCATCGCGGCGGTACCGCGGCGTCACGCCGATCCCGCGGCTGCAGCTCGCGACGCCGTCGACGACGACGCCTCTCGCGGCGCCGTCGTCGTCGTCCGAACCGCCCGAGGTGCGTTCTGTACACTGGTTCCCATACGACCGCGTTGGCGTGGTGAACGCCGTTCCTTAAGGACTTTTGCCGTCGTCTCTCTCCGCCCACCCCACGGTTTCAATCCCCGTCCTCGGCGCCTTTCAACGCCAACTGACGCCTTTCAACTCCACCCCGACGTTCGCTTGTATAGAACGCCCCTGAGGCGGCGGACTCGAGCTCCGCGTTGAAAGAGGAGAAGACGCGATGCGTCATCGCGCTCGTGGACCTCGCTCGGCTCGCCGCGCGGAGCGACGCGATGGCGAGAGAGGCGGAGGCGATCGCGGTGCGGCGCGCGCGGGAGGCGACGACGTCGCTGGCGTACCCGATAGGTACGCGCGCGAAGCCTTTCTTTGTGATTTCGATTTCGTTCGGTTTCGCTTTCGCTTTCGTTTGGTTTCGTCAGGGCCGTTCTATACAAGCGAAAGTCGGGGTGAAGTTGAAAGGCGTCAGTTGAAGTTGAAAGGCGCCGAGGACGGGTATTGAAAGCGAGGGGTGGGCGGAGAGATGCGACGGGCAAAGTCCTTAAGGATCGGCGTCCACCTCGCCAACGCGGTCGTATGGGGACCAGTGTATAGAACGCGCCTCAATTTTTTTCTGACGACCCGACCTACCCGCTCCTCTCGCCGCTTTCATCGCGCGCAGCTCTCGCGAACGACGCCGCGCGCGCGGCCGCGGCGATGCGCGAGGAAGAGGACGACGTCCACGCGGAGATGCACGCCGTGCGCGCCGTCCTCGCGCGCATAGAGACCGCGTTGGCGGCGTTGCGTCGCGCCGCGGAGACGGCGGCGGCGGCGGCGCGTCGAGGGAAAGAGCGCGCCGCGGCGGCGGCGACGCGCGCGACGAGTGAGGCGTCGAAGCGCGCGGTCGCCGCGCAGCGCGCGATCGAGAGGGTGCGACGAGGAGGCGCGGTGTGGGCCGCGCACGTCCGGCTGGAGTGATGCGAGCGGCGGCGTTGGGGGGGGGGGTAGGTAGCGGTCTTCGCCGAAGACGGAAACTTTTGTATTCGCAGCACATCGTATTTTTTTTCGTCGTCTCACATCAGCTCCAGTCGTCGTCGCGTCCCGTCTACCCGTGTTCGTCCCCGCGACTCGCGCGCGCGCTGGCGTCGACGCGACGCGGCGATGCCTCCGTCGCCGCCGCGCCCGCTGCGCGGCGCGGACGTCAGCGCGTGCACGCCCCTCGTCCTCGTCCTCGACGCGGCGGCGGACGAGGGCGCGGAGTCGCTCCTGTTGTCGCATCACCCGTCGCGCCGCGGCGTCGTCGCGACGGACGCCATCGCGCGCGCGCTCAAGGGTCTCCTCCTCGCGACGACGTCGCTGACGCGATCGATGGTGGCGCAGGACGTCGAGGTGATCGCGCTCGGGGTGGGAGACGGCGGCGGGGACGCCGACGACGCCGACGCGGCGGCGACGACGACGACGACGGCGACGACGACGTCGACGCGGACGCGACGACGCGCGGTGATGAAGGCGGGATGCCGCGCGGTCCACGACGACGGTCTCGTCGCCGTGCTGTTCGACGGCGAGGACGTCCCGGACGCGCTCGCGGCGCGCGCGACGAAGGAGTGCGTGGACGCGCTGACGTTCGCGCGCGGGGAGTCGAGCGCGTGGATGCGAGAGCTCAGGGACGCGAGGGACGCGAGGAGGAGACGCGCGAGCGAGTCTTCGTCGTCGACGACGACGACGACGACGTCGACGACGACCGCGACGACCGCGACGACGGCGGCGCGGTGGTCGACGTCCGCGACCGAGTTCTTCGAGAAGACGTCGCGCGGCTCCGACGTCGAGCTCGCGCTGCACGCCGCGCTCGCGGCGATCGTCCCGCGGCTGCGCGGCGTCGGCGGGGACGCGCGGGCGTCGTTCGAGTTGAGCGGCGACTGCGACGGCGACGACGGCGACGAAGTCCTTAAGGAACGGCGTTCACCACGCGAACGCGGTCGTATGGGAACCAGTCACGGCGACGGCGACGACGAAACCGCCGACCCCGACGACCCCGACGTCGCGGCGTCCCGAGCGGTCGTCCGCCGCGCGCTCTGCGAGGCGGAGACATCGACGCCGCCGCTCGCCGACCGCCTGCGCCTCGACGCCGCCGGTAGGTCGTTCGAGGACCTCAAGCCCGGCGCGATCTTCTCCGACCGGACGCCGGTCGCGACGCACGCGACCGCGTCGCACGCCAAACTGGTCGCGTTTCACTGCGGCGTCGTCGGCGGCGTGTTCGACCGCGTCGCCGCGGGCGAGGGCGAAGGCGTCGCGGGGGGGATGGCGGAGGTGATCCCGTGCTGGGTGCCGACTGGGGTGCCGACTGGGGTGCCCTCCGACGATCATCGCGGATGGACGCGGCGGTTTCTTCTCGCGACGAGCGTCGACGCGCGAAACGTCATGTGCCTCTTGCTGACGCCCTCGTCCGCGCGCGACGACGACGACGCGTGGACCCCGAGCGACGCAGACGTCGCGCACGCGGTCGCCGGCGCGCGCGCGGCGCTGGAGAAGGCGCGCGACGCCATCGCGCGCGTCGCCGCGGCGGAGGCGGCGAGGCGGGCGAAAGCGTCGGACGAGAGGTACCGAGTCGCCGCGTTCGCGCGCGACGCCGCGCGGAAACTCGCGCTCGCGGCGGGGTGCGACGCTCGAGACGCGAGAGACACGAGAGACGCTCGCGCCTCTCGCGGTGGCGGTGGAGGTGGCGCGGGAGGGGGTGAACGCGGCGGTGGAGAGTTGGGCATGGTAAGGCCGAGCGGGCGGCGGCTCGCCAGCTGCGCGGAGGTTGAATTTCTCGTCGGCGGCGAAGGCGAAGGCGAAGGCGGCGCGTGGATCCGCGCGCGCGTCGATCTCGACGCTGGTGGACGCGTCGCGTAGCGTAGCGTAGCTTGTACTCGTGACGTCAATGCAGCGCGCGAGGGTTCGACCCAGGCGTGTTCTATTTTTCAACGAGGTTGAAGCGTATTTTCGTCGGGGCGCGTCTCAGTCGTCGCGCTGGCGCTTCTTCTTTGGACCTCCAGGGGGGTTGCACTGCGGGCATCCGCTGGGTTTAACACTCCTCGTGCGGTTGTTCATCGGCGCCCTCCATTCGTGCTCGCACGTCTCACAATTCCACAGCGCCTTGTATGTCGACCCTCTCGTAACTTGCGTCGGCTCCCTGTCCGGGTCCACGTACTCTTTCAGGAGCTTCTTGCCTCGGTCGCCGTTGGCGTTACACCACGTGACGAAGTTGTTGGTCCTACACAGCGGCATTTGATTCGCGCACTTCGGACACCCGCTGGGTTTGACGCTGCACGTGCGGTTGTGCATCTTCGCCCTCCACGCGTGCTTGCACTTCAGACACTTCCACTTTGCCCTGTGGTGCGACCTAAACGCCACCTCCGTCGGCAGCTTCTCCGGGTCCCTGAACTCCCGGAGGAGCGTCTTCCCGCGCTCGCCGTTCTGCATGCACCATTCGAAGAACGGCTTGGCATACACACGCTTGGTATCGCCGTGTTGGTTCGGCATGATCGCCGCGCGAGTCGTCGCGTGTCGCGCGCGGGCGAAGAGTGACGACGAAAAGCCACGACGCGCGTCTCCACAGCCCACCAGCGTTTCTCGGCAGGTCCGAGAACGGTTTTCACCCACCCCGTAGTTTCAATACTTGTCGCGCCCCCTTTCAACTGACCGATGAAACTTTTTGATTGGGAACGACCCTGCGACCCAGCCAATCGGAGGCGTCGAAACAGCTCATCGCGACGTTCGACCTAAACCCTCCGCGACGCCGTCGCCGGCCGACACTCGCGCGCCGCGCCCGATCCGCCCCCGCCGATCGATCGATCGAACGATCCTCGTCGCGACTCCCCCGTCATCGCACCGATGCCGACGACGACGACGACGCGCGCGCGCTCCGTCGTCGCGCCGCGCCGCGCGATCGCGCGCGTCGCGCTCGTCCTCCTCCTGACGTTCCTCCTCGCGCCGATCGCGGCGGTCGCCGCGGCGAAGAAACCCCCGCCCGCGCGCGGCGTCAAGTCCGACGTCAAGTACGTCAAGTGCGCGGTCTGCCAAGAGGTCGCGAAGACGCTCCACCGCGTCGCGGCGAAAGTCCGCGAGGACAAAGGAAAGAAGCTGACCGAGGCGGACGTCCTCGAGAAGGTGGAGAAGGTGTGCGATCCCGACGCGGAGGAGGGCGAGTGGCTCATAACCCACGACCTCGTCGAACGCGGGAAACGCCTGGACATGAAACACATGGGCGGCAAGTTCGGCGAGTGCGGCGCGGAGTGCAAGACGATGCAGATGGCGTGCGAGCGCATCGTGAGCGACCGCGACACGGACGTCGCGGAGATGCTCTTCACCGACGGCGCGAGCCTGGCGCGCGCGGGTATCCAAGCCAAGCTGTGCAACGACGCGAACGAAAAAGCGTACTCCGCGTGCCGTAAGCCCGCGCCCGCGCTGCCCAAGACGCGACCGAAGGGCCCCGCGTTTAAGGAGAAGGACAAGAAGGACGTCGAGATGGCGCGCCTCATGAAGTCCATGAAGGGCATGGGCATGGGCGGCATGGAGATGTTCTCGCGCGATAACATGCCCGGGATGGGCGGCGGCGACGACGACGACGACGGCCTCGGCGACGACCCCGCGGACGCGCTCGGAGGGTATCCGGGGATGAGCGATCTCGCGAGCGGCGACGGCGGCGCCGGCGCGCCCGCGGGCGAGGAAGGCGAGGGGGGAGTGAGCGGCGCGTGGGGGCGGATGAAAGCCAGCGCGGGCGACGCGGCGGCGGCGGCGAAGCGAGCGTGGCGCGGATTGTTCCCCGCGAAGAAGGACGCATCCGCATCCGCCGCGTCGGATTCGGACGGCGCGACGGGCGACGACTCCGAGGGCGAGCTGTGATTCGCGACGACGCGACGGACGAGAAGATGACGGTCGATGTATGACCTGAGCGAACGGAACGCCTATTATTTTGATTCGAACGATGTGATGATCAACGATCAACCTCTCGTCTCGGTAACCTTACAACGACGCCGGCGTCGCGCACGAGTCGTGCCGTTGTGCCGCGAGAAAATATACCCCCCCCTCCCTCGAAGACCTAAACGCGTCCCGAACGCGTCCCTAAACACCCTCCCTCCCCTCCCCCTCGCCCCGCGCTCACGGCCGGTAGTGGTTGTGCAAGCTCCGGTGCCCGTGCGGCAGCGCCTCGCGATCCAGACACTCCGCGTCCTTCGGCGGCGACGTCCACTCGTGCCGAATCGGGTCGTACTCGCCAGACAGCAGCCTCGGCGGGTCGCACCGCCTGAGAGTCGACGGTCCGTCGTTCAAAGCGATGATATCGGGGTGGAGTTCAGGGGTGCGTCAGTGGCGGAGTTGTGAGGCAACGCGGTGTGTCGGGATTGAACGCGAGGGACCCTGGGCGGGGAGATGCGCGCGCGGCGAAAGTCCTTAAGGATCGGCGTTCACCGCGCGGACGGGGTCGTATGCGTGGGGACCAGCAGAGTGTGTAGAATAGAACGCGCCTGAGCTCCGTGTGATGATCGCTCGGGTCGTCCTCCGCGACCATCCGCGCGTGATCGCGGTACAGCGGCTTCGGCGACCCGTGCGAATCTCTCGCGCTGGACGGCGAGAACGCGCCGTGCGACGTCGGCGACATCGGCGACGTGGGCACCTCGCTCAGGAGCTCGCTCTCGACGTAATTCTCCGCGCGCTCCCACGGCGCCGGAATCTTCCGCACGCCGCTGGGAATGTCCACGTTCGCGCACGGGATCGTCACGAGCCCTTTATCGCTGACGACGGTCTGCAGGCGGTGCGTCTTGTCGTACGTCGTGCTCTGCATGTGGTCCGGGTCGCGCCAGTCGAACTCCGCGGACGCGCCCGCGCGCGCGGCGTTCGCGCGGATGCGCGCGAATTTGATCGCGTCCGCTCGCTGTTGAGCCTCCCACTCGGCGTCCGCGTTGGCGCGGTTCCTCATGGACGGCGCCGTGATCTTGCGATCGAGGATGCTGTTCTTCTTGTACATCTCTGAGGCTCGGACGGCGGACGGCGCGCGCGCGGAGCGATCGACCGGTCCTGCGCCAGCGGCGACGCCACGAAGGGGCCCCCTCGTTGTTGTGCGGGCAGAAGTGTGGGAGGGGGGTGTTCAAAACGATTGCGTCAGCAACGTGTGTGTACTGTGTGCAACTGAAATGGTTCTGACAAGACGTCCGCTTCGTCAGCACGCTCGGCGCGGCCGCGGGCGCCGGCCGCCACGTCGACGTCGACGACGATGGCGTCGTCTCCGCGACGAAACGTCGCGCCGCGTCCCCGAGGGGTCGCGCTCGTCCTCCTCCTCCTCCTCCTCCTCGCGACGACGACGCCGCGCGAAGTGGAAGCGTACAGATCCATGGCGGGCTCGTGCGAGCACGCGGGCGTGGTGCACGGCGACCCGCCGCATCCGAAGCGCGACGGCGACGGCGGGTTCGCGATCGCGCTCGGACGCCCCGGCGTGAACGTCCCGGGCGCGGTCGTCCCGCTGTCGCTCTCGTCGTCCGACGGCACGCCGTTCAAGGGCTTCATGATCGGCGCCGTGCGCGTGGACGGCGCCACCGGGAAGGAGGTGCGTTCTATCTCACACTGGTCCCCGTACGACCCCGTTCGCGTGGTGAACGCCGATCCTTAAGGACTTTGCCCGGCGCATCTCTCCGCCCACCCCTCGCTTTCAATCACCGCCCTAGATGCCTTTCAACTCCGCTTCTGACGCCTATGAACTCCACCCCGACGTTCGCTCGTATGGAACGGCCCGGAGACTCCGATCGGCGGGTGGGATCCGCGCTCCATGCCGGACGGCGCGCAGGTACACCCGCTGTGCCCGGATCACGCGACGCACGACGCGTACCGCAGCTCGAACCCGAGCGCGGAGGCGATCGTGCCGTGGATCGCGGCGACGGACGGGATGGCGGTCGGGGACGTCGTGAAGTTCAAGGCGACGGTGGTGCGATCGCACTCGACGTGGCACGCGTTCGAGACGACGTTCGAGGTGGGGTCGGCGCGCGGCGCGGGCTTCGCCGCGATCGCGCTCGAGCGCGGAAGAGCGCCGGGGAGCGACGACGGTGGAACGTCCGGGGTGCGCGCGCCGGGGATGGCCGCCGCGACGCTGGGGGGATGGAGAGAGCCCCCCGCGGGGACTACGGAGGGCGGCGGTCAGAAGATGGGGAAAGTCGTGATCGACGCGAAAGTCGCGGCGAGGCGCCGACGCGAGCGTTCGCGGAAAGAACGCGAGGAGTCGAGGCGCGAGGACGTGCAGAAGGCGCGGGAGATCCTCGGCGGATTCGGCGGAAGCGCCGTCAAGGCGCCGACCGCCGAAAAGCCAGCCGTCGAGGCGCCGACGACCGACGCCGCCGCTCTCGTCGCCGCCGCGGACCGCCGCCGCGCCGCGCGCCTCTGGCACGGCTTCTCCATGGCGTTCGCGTGGCTCCTCCTCGCGCCCGCGTCCGCGTTCGTCGCCAGGCACGGCCGCGACGCCCCGACGTGGTTCGCGTTCCATCGCGCCGCGTCGTACTGCGCCGCGGGCGTCACGGCGACGAGCGCGTGGTATATCGTCGCCGCGAGGGGGTGGTCGACGGCGTGGGGGCGGCACGGACGCGTCGGCGCGTACGTCGTCGTCGGCGTCGCGCTCCAGGCGATCGGCGGGTACGCGAGGAAGCGGTACCCGCGGCGGAGATGGGCGGCGTTTCACCGAGCGCTCGGGTTCGCGTGCATAGCGCTCGGGGCGTACAACTGCGTCGCGGGGGCGAGGCTGTTGGGCGCGCTCGAGGCGGGGACGAGAAGCGCCAAGTCGGCGGCGATTTCGGCGGCGGCGACGTGGGCGGCGACGTTCGCGGTGATGGAACGCGCGCGGGGGAGAGGGCGCGCGGGGACGATCAAGCTATCGCACACGGTGTAGTGAGTGGCGCGCGTAGAAGATGATGATCGCATCGTTTCCGTCGGTTACGTGCGTCGCGTCTCGTCTCGATTCGCGGCTGGCTGAAAGCCGCCTCTGTCTCGTTCGTTCGTCGTCGTCGCTTCGTCCCCCGCCTCCCTCTTCTCTTCTCTCCGCGCGGCGGGCGCGGCGACGCGCGGGCATCCCACCCGCCCGCGGTCGCGCGTACGCCCCGCGCACACCCTCTCCCCCCCCCCCCTCTTCGCCGCCGGCGCGGCCGTCCGTTCCATCCTCTCGTCCGTCGCGACGTCCATCACATCATCGCCGCGTGCGCGGTCCCCTCGTCCACGGTCAGGTGCTGGTTCGGCCCGCCCATCTCGCTCTCGTCCACGGCTCCTTCGTCGCCGTCGCCGTCGCCCCCCTCCTCGGTCGAGAAACCGAGGAACCGCTCCGCGGGCACCGCGGGCGCGACGCACACGCCCTCCACCGCGCGCGGTCTCCAGTGCGACCGCCCGTCCCCCGTGCCGAGCTGCCCCAAGTCGCCGCGGCCCCACAGGTACAGCCGGCCGTTCTCGCCCACCGCGCCGGTGTGATCCTCCCCGGTCGCGACGGTTGACATCCTCGTCCCGCGGAGCGACTCCACGCGCGTGAACGCGTAGCGACGCTTCGTGTCTCCGTGCCCGAGTTGCCCGTACGCGTTTTCCCCCGTGGTCATCACCGCGCCGCACGCGGTGAGAACGCAGCTGTGCGAGCCCCCGGCGGCGGCGTGGACGACGCGGCACGTCGCCCCGCACGCGCACGGAACCTTCACCCAGCGCGGCTTTTGTTTCCCGTCCGAGTCGACGCGGATCGCGCTGCGCGCGAGCTCGCGCTCCGCCTGCGTCATGCTCGCGGGGCCGCCGCATCGCGCGCGCGCCGACCCGAGAAGGATTACAGCCTTGGCGGCGCCGTTCCCCGAAGCGCCCTTCTTCCTCTTCTTCTTCTGCACCCCAATTCTTCCACCCTTCGAGGCGGCGTTCCCGTTCCCGCACTTCGCGTTCATGCGCACGATCGCGTCGCGGACGTCGCCGAACCCGACGCTCTGCGCGACGCCGCCGTCCTCCCTCGTCGCCTCCTCGAACGCGACGTCCCCCCACCCCGTCAACGGCTTGGGCTTGTGATGAATCGGCACCAGCCGCGGCACGAGGTGGTCCCGCGGCCCTCGGATGTGCTTCTTCTGGTCCTCCTCGTAGTAGTAGTACTGCTCGTGCGACCCTCTCACGCCGACGCCGAGCGCGCCGTGGCTCCCTCGCCCGCACGCCCACAGCGCGCCGCCGGCGGTGACGAACATCGTGTGGTGCCCCCCCGCCGCCATCGCGACGATCGGCTCGTCCAGGTCGTTCAAAGTCTCCACGAGGCACGGCCACGGCACGCCCGCGTCCCACCCCGCCGCGGTGGCGAACGCGACGTCGCCCAGGCCGAGCTGGCCGTGCTTGCACGCGCCCCACGACCACACGCTGCCGCAGTCGGTGAGGCACAGCGAGTGCGACCCGCCGGCGACGGCGTAGAGGACGCTCATCCCCTTGAGCGCCTCGACCCGGCGCAGCGCGCCGGCGTCGTGGAAGACGCCGTGCCCGAGCTGTCCGTGGCGTCCTCGGCCGCACGTGTACAGGCCGCCGCCTCGCGAGACGACGATGGTGTGGTTCGCGCCCGCGGCGATCTGCGTCACCTTCACGTTCGCCATGGACGACACCTGGCGAGGGACGTCCACCTCGATCGGCGTCCAGCCGCCGTGGCCGAGCTCGCCGCTCGACGCGAGACCCCAGGTGAGCAACGCGCCGTTCGGGTCCAACGCCGCGCAGTGCGACGCCCCCGCGGAGATGACCTCGATCGCGGTCGGGTCCGCGAACCCGACGCCGTTGAGCGACACCGCGGCGGGGGAGGCGGCGTCGTCGTACCCGCCCTGGCCGAGCTGGCCGTGGAACCCGCGGCCGAAGGTGTACAGCGTGCGTCCGTTGGGTTGCTTCGACGCCGCGCGCTCGCGCGCGGCCGCCGCCGCCGCTGGGGTCACGAAGTCCGTCGTGGACGCGCCGGAGCTCGCGACGGACGCGATCCAGCCGTTGTCCCCGGTCCCTTCCACGATCGGCGCGAACACGGACATCCCGTGTTCGTCGCGTTGGTCCTCCTCGCTCGGCGTCGGAAACATCGGCTCGGCGTCCTCCTCGGTGAAGGACTCGTCGCCGACGTTCTGCCCGCCGGCGTTGGCGTCGATCTCTCCCCCCGCGTCGCCGGGCGCGGTCGTCGCGACCGCGCCCCACGCGTACGTCGCCGGCGGGTCGGGCGCCGGCGGGTCGTCGTGCAGCCCGCGTCGAAGCGCGAAATCCCTCGCCTCGGTGCGTCGCACAACCGGCTTTTTCTTCGGCGGCCCCGGCACCGCGCCCGCGACGCCCAGCACCGCGGTGTGGAACGCCCCGAGCGCGATCCCAACGGAGGTCCGCATCGCGACGTCCGCGGCGTCCGCGAAGTGAAGGATCCGCGCGTAGTTGGTCTGTTCGCCTCGTCGCGGGAACTCGAGGCCGTCGGCGCGAGGGTGCGCCGCGACGCGACGCTTGGCGACGCGCTCGACGGGCGTCGGTCGACTCGACGAGCCGGACGCGCCAAAGTACTTGGACGCGCAGGCGAGCGCGCCGAGCTCGCGCGCGCCGCAGTTCTCGAGGACGAGCTCGAGGATCTGTGGTCGGGAGGGCGGGCGGTGAGCGCGGCGCGGAAACGAGGGGAGGGGACCCCGGGGGGGGGAAATGGCGAAAAGAACGGTCGAAAAAAAAACCGAGCCGGGCGCGCGGGGGAACCGCCGCCCGCCCGCGGCGTCGCGTCGTCGATCGTCGCGTCGACGCACCTCCTCGGGCAAAATCCCGAAATCGCCGCACTCCGCCTCCTGCAGGCTCCGCCTCCGTCTCTTGCTCTTCACCGTGGAGCACCCGCCGTGGCGCTTCGACGACGACGGCGGCAATCCGTGCGAGTGCGTCGTCTTTCGCGATTCGACGTTTGCCGCGCCGCGCGGCGGCGACAGCAGCTGGACGCATCCGAGCTCGGAGTCGTTCTTCTCGCCGACCGCGCCAGCTGCGAGATGGCGATGGGCGGAGGAGGACGCGGCGCATGAGCACGGGGGGTCGGGGATGGCGCGCGGGGCGGGGACGGAGAGAGGCGCCGCGAGCGCGACGCCGCGGACCGCGAGAGGGCGGGTGGAGGGAAAAAAAGACGGTCGCGAACGTCGAAAACCGCCGCGGCGCGCGCGAGATCTCGACGCGAGCGTCGAGCGAGCGCGCGTCGGACGCGCGAGGGGGGCGTCGGGGGGGTGTCTCACGCGGGTTAGCGCCGGTCGCGAGGGCGACGCGCGCGCGAACCCGGCGTCGCGACCGTCGAAGCGCCCGCGGCGCGAAATGCCGGGTATAAAAGGTTCCCCCGAACCGTCGCGTTCGCGTCGCGACCGGGGGAATTTGTCGTTACCCCCGCGTCAACGGAAAGCGCGCGGGCGCGTCGCGGGATTCGATTCGCACCTTCGTCCGGCGCGGACGCGGACTTCTTGTGACGGAAGTTGTACCTCTGCTGCGGCGGCGAGCCGATCGTGCTCGGCAGCATGCTCGCGCCGCTCGCGCCCTGGTCGCTTTTCATGTTCCGTTCGTTCGTCCTCTCGTGGTCGTTGAAATGCCTCGCGTCGCGATGCCACGCGCGCGCGTCTCTCTCCTCTCTACTACGCCGCGCCGTCTCGCGACCTCGCTACTCCTCTCTCCCTCTACCGGACACCACGGGCCAATGCGGCCGCGCGACGTCGCCTCTCCTTCCCTTCGCGCTTCCGCGCCGCCTAAAGTGCTCCGCGCTTCGAACGACTACAACGCGAAAAAGTGCGCGGGGCAGCTCGATTTTTCCGAGCTCACGGCACACTTCGTACTCGTACTACGTTTCGTATGCGAGATCAGTCAGAAATCAACCCGCGTCGAGTCCGCGTCGGTCGTCTCCGCGCTCGTTCACAGACGTGCGGCGGGCATCATAGCTCGCGCGACCTTTCGCATGTGGGTCGGATACCTCGACATTCCCGCTCGCGCGGTGCACCTTTCCGGAAAAACGAACTGACACGATCTTGAACATCCCCCCGTGACGATCGGAGGCAGGCTTAACGTTCGCTCTCGCTCACGATGCGTCTCTCCATCTCCGCCGCCGTCGTCTGCGCGCTGTTCGCGCTGCAAGTCACGTGCGCCCACGGCTTCGCGTTGTCTCCTGAAGTTATTGAAGCGTCGGGCTCCTTGCTTTCCCCTGAGGTCGACCGACGCTCGTTGGCTGCTACTGGATGTGGCGACGGTTATCTTTCTGGGTCCGTTTCAGACGCTCAAAACGTTGTTACCGTCCATAATTGCCTGTGGACGTCTACGTGTGATAAGTGGACTTACGAAGTGACGCTGAGTATTACAGCAGGTGATTATGTCCAAATTCTTGTCGCCACAGGCGACACTTGCGCCGCCGCCGACGACGGCAACATCGGCGGGGACATAACTCGCGCGACTGAAGTCCTAGGTTCGGCAACTGGAAATGTCGAGGTGTCCGGTACATTATCGTCTACGTCCACGAGAACTTGCAACTGGATACTATGCCTGTCTGCTTCAGGTTGTGTCTACACCGCCAAGGTTCAGTTGACGTGTACGACAGAAACCACCACCTTGGACGCCGGCGTCATCGCTGGAATCGTCATCGGTTGCATCGTGGCCGTCGCCCTTAGCATCGTGGCGTGCGCGTGGTGCTGCAAGTGCTGCTGCTTCAAACGGAAGGTGCAGCCCGCGCAACCGGGGGTCGTGATGATGCAACCCGCGTACGTGATGCCGAAGTGAGCATACCCGGCTTGAAAGTAAAAAGTTACAGTAGTGGAGGGTTTCCTGTAGCTGAGTCATTTTGTAGTCAGATCTTGTCACTCCGTCCCTGCGGCCGCCGCGAACGTCGCCGCGAACGTCGCCGCCCGCCCGCCATGGGCCGCAAGCGCAACCGGCACAAGAACAAGGGCGCGAACGACCCCGCGTTCGACCCCGCGAACCCGAACAAGACGTCCAACTGGGGCGGGCTCGGGACCGCCGCGCCGACGCCGCTCGTCGCGTGCCAGCCCTCGGCCGACGGCGTCGGCGGCGCGCTCGTCGCCATCGCGTACGGGTCGTCGTTCAGCGTGCACGACGCGAGCGCGGACGACGCGCTCGTGCCGCTGACGCACGCGAAGGACAACATCGCGGAGGGCGCGGAGGCGACGGGACCGTGCGCGGACGGGCGATGGCACGCGGAGACGATCCGCGTGCTGCGATTCGATCCCACCGGGCGGTTCCTCGTCACCGGCGGCGACGACAAGATCCTGCGTCTGTGGCGCGTGGTGGAGAAGAAACGAGAGCTCTCGAATGATGATAACGGTGGCGATGCGTCCGTTACGACGTCGTCGACCGTGACGATGGAGTGCTACAAGAAGACGAAGAAGCAGCCGAAGAAGCTGTGCGGCGGCGACTTCACCGACGACGGCGAGTACGTGACGTTCGCGAACAAATACGGAGACGTGCACATCTGGCCGACGGCGGAGACCATGTGCGACCGAGACCTCGCGGCGCCGCGTCTGAACGAGAAGGGCGACCCGGAGTACGATAAGCACGCGCCCGCGTTCCTGTTGGGGCACTGCTGCTCGATCATAACGGACGTCTGCGCGCCGTTAGGGAGCCGGTATATTTGCACCGCGGATCGCGATCACAGGATCCGAGTGAGCTACCTCCCGCGCACGGTCTCCCTCATGGGCGGCTCGCACGAGATTCAGAGCTTCTGCTTCGGGCACACCGCCTTCGTCGCGTGCGTCGCCGCGGTGGGCGGCGACATGATCGTCTCCGGCGGCGGCGACGGCACCGCGCGCCTGTGGCGCCTCGACGACGGCGAGCTCCTGAGGCGCGTTCATATTTACACTGGTTCCCATACGACCGCGTCGGCGCGGTGGACGCCGATCCTTAAGGACGTTTCCTGGTGTTTCTCTCCGCCCAGCCCTCGCTTTCAATCCCGACACACCTCGACGCCTTTCAACGCCAACTGACGCCTTTCAACTCCACCCCGACGTTCGCTCGTATGGAACGACCCTCAGCACGATCGTCCTCGCCGAGCCGCACGACGACGACGACGAGACGCAGCTGGCGGCGCTGCTGCAGGAGGAGGAGCGGACCCGGGAGCGGATCGTGGAGGAGGGTCGCGAGATTTTCAAGGGGGGTGCCGAAGGGGGTGCCGAAGGCGTCGAGGCGTTCCCGGGAGACGACGAGAGGATCGACCTGACGAAGCTGACCAAGGCAGAGCGCCTCAAGCTCATGGACGAGGGCGTCATCCCGCGGATACCGACGCGCGCGCCCGCGGTGACCGCGATCGCGTGCTCGAGAGACGGCTCCTCGATCGTCGCCGCGGTGGAGGGCCGCGCGCAGCTCGCGGCGCTGACCGTCGAGGGCGCGTCGACGCCGACGCCGACGCTGACGCTGCGGGGGTGGACGCCGACGACGATCTGCGGCGCCGAGCCGTCGGGCGCGACGCCGTCGTCGCTGTGCTTCCGCGGTGAGGGCGGCGCGACCGAGCTGTGGGTCGCCGCGGTCGCGAACGGGGAGGGCGCGCACGACGCGAACGCGGGCGTCGTCGTCGCGATGACGGGCGAGGGGTTGAGAGAGGAGCGCGCGATCGCGCGGATGACGACGGCGGCGCCGAGGGAGCTCGAGGCTGGGTTGCCCGGCGTCGGCGACGCGATGCGGCCGCGCGTGTACGAGAACAAGGAGAAGTTCGAGGATCGGAAGAAGCTGCGGAACGATCAGAAGCCGGAGAAGGGGGGGAAGCAGGCGAGGGAGGTCCGGGAGATGGCGGCGAAGTGAAGCGAGTCGCCGTCTGTACTTTGATGCATCAGACTAAAAACGCATAGAGTACGAGTACAACGAACATTTTCGTATGGAAATTGAGTCTGATGAGTACGCGCCCGCCGTCGCCAGTCACTACCTGGAGCCGCCAGCAGCTGCTCGCAATTTTGAACTACGACTCGCGCGCGACCGTCGCGCGACGCGCCACAACGACGGAACGCGCGCGCGCTCGCGACTTCGCGATCGTCCCGAGCGCTCGGTCGGAGCGCAGCGCGAGTCTCGACGCCGGTCGCGTCGTCGTCGTCCCGAGAGGGAGGGCGCGGCGTCGCGCGAGAGAGGCCGACGCGCGGACGCGCTTTCCCTGATTTTCAAAACTCGACGACGACGACGACGACGACGACGACGCGCATGGCGACGACCGGCGCCGTCGCCGCGACGCCCGCGGCGAAGATGACCGAGCGCCAGCAGCTCGCTATCGCGCTCAGGGAGTCCATGTCCGCGGCCGCGACGCCGGTGACGGCGGGCGGGACGTCCGCGCGCGCGGAGGCGTCCCCCGACGGCGAGGCGCGTCGCGCCCCCGCGCGACCGTTCGCGCCCGCGCCGCGCCTCGACGCATTTCATTTTCTTCGACGGAAGCCCGCCCGTCTCCCTCCTCCCCGCGTCGATGCGTTCTCATCTGACGCGCGCGCCCATCCTCCCCTCCTTCTCGCCGCTCGCGTCGTTCGTCTCGCAGCCGCTCGCCGAAGCGCGCGCGGAGGAGCCGAAGCGACGGAAGCTCACCAGGGTCCAGAAGGAGCTCGCGTCGCTCGCGCCGTGGGCGTGGGATCCGCTCGTGTCGCGGCACGCCCCGGGGGCGAGCATGATGCGCGACTTCACCGAGGTGGTCGCGGACAAGACGGTGACGACGAACACGACGTCGTACACGTTCAAAGGGACGACGGTCAGCGGCGGCGTCGAGCTCCCGGGGTCGCCGGTCGCGCCCGCGACGGCGGCGAAGGCGACGCCGCGGGGGTTCAATAATTTCGACGCCAAGGGCGGCGCCGGCGCCGGCGCGCGTCCTCGGACGGCGACGCCGCCGACGGCCGCGGGCGCGTCGACGCCACCGTCTGCCGTCGCAGTCGGAGCGGCGAAGTACCCTAGGGTACTGAGCAACAGTGGCGGCGTCTTAAAGACGCCGGCGCTCGCTTCCTCTCTGCAGCGGGAGAAGAAGAAGCGGGAGAAGAAGAAGAAGCACAGACTCTCCGTGGGGAGCGGCGGCGGCTCGCCGGGCGGCTCGCCGGGCGGCTCCGTCGACGGCGACGGCGACGGCGACGCGAGGAACCTCGTCGCGGAGCTCGAGCGCGCGGTCTCCCCGGTCTCCCCGACCGCGAGCGAGGAGGGCGAGCACGCGCGCGCGTCTGTGCGCGTCGCGCGGCGCGAAAAGGCGGAGAGGGAGGAACGCGAGACGGCGACGGCGCGGCGCGAATCGGAGGAGAGGGAAAAGGCGCGCGCGAAGCGGGAGAAAGCCGCGGAGAAGGCGAAGGAGAAGGAGAAGGCGGCCGCGGAGAAGGCGGCGGCATCCGCGGCGACCAAGGAGAAGATCGCGAAGGAGAAGGCGAGGCGCACGAGCGGCGGCGTCGTCAAGGACAGAGAGCCCTCCGCCGCCGGCGGAGACGACAAGGAAAACGTCAAGCCGCTCCCCGCCGGGAAGGTGAGACTGCTTCCCGTACGACCCCGTTCGCGTGGTGAACGCCGTTCCTTAAGGACTTTTCCCGTCGTCACTCTTCACCCGCGCTTCCCTTTCAACGTACGTTTGACCGGTGAGACGTTCGACTGACCGATCGCTTCACCCACGCAGGACGCGAACGTCTCTAGGCCTCCGCGCGGCGCCGCGACGACGGCGCCGCGCTCGCACCACCGCCGCCCGCGCGCGCCGCCCGCGCCCGCCGCCGCCGCCGTCGCGGATCGCCGCGGGTCGAACTCGAGAGCGGCGGCGCTTCTCGCCGTCGCCGCCGCGGAGGCGGCGTTCGACGCGGAGAAGTCGAGCGGCGCGCGACGAACGACGGCGTCGCAGCACCTCCTCGCGATGTACTACAAGCTCTCCGGACGGGAGGGCGGAGAGGCGGACGAGGCGGACGACGACGAGGACGACGACGACGACTCGGAAGACGACGCGCTCGCCGCGGCGCCGGCGCCGGGACCGACCCGCGACGTTATGCCACGTCAGTTCCACGTCAGCGCATCGTCAGCCGCGCCGTCGTTCTTCGACGCGACGAGCTGCGGCCCGTTTCGAGGCGCGGAGATGACGAAACCCGAGGACTTCGCGCGGTACCACGCGCAGCCGCAGCGGGTCGTGTCGCTGACGAACACCCTCGCGCGGGCGTGCGCGTACGTGAACGAGGTGGACGCGAGAGTGGAAGTGGGAGGGGGAGAACACATTTAGCTCGGTGATGCGATGGACGGGCGGGCGCGGCGCGGCGCGTCGCGAAAGGTTCACGGGGGGGTGGGGGGGTGCATTTTTGTAACGCGATTTAACGCGATTCGTCTCGACGGAACGAAACTCGCGCGTCGTATCATCAACAAACGTCGTCGCTCCGTCGTTTACGCGGCACCCCCCACCACCCACCCAGCTATGATGTAACTAACGCGCATCCATCGCGCGTCAGTTACGTTACGCCGCCCGTCGCCGTCCTCGTCGTCCGTCCGTCACTGCACCGACGCGACGAGCTCGCGCACGCGGCTGAGCACGATCTCGTTGGCGCACTCGCACGCGTCCGCGGTGTACGGAAACGGCAACCTCGCGCACCCCATGACGACGAGACTCACATGAGCGCCCGGCGCGCCCCCCGACTTGGCCGACCGCTCCTCGGACACGGGCACGCGCGCGGCCTCGAGCGTGGCGCGCACGCGCGACATCCGCGCGATCGCGGCGGCGTCGTCGCGATCGCGGCTCGAATTCGAACTCGCGTTAGCAGAGCGTCCCCCGACGGGCGGATAGACGGCCGCGCCGTTCCCGCCATTCGCTCCCGCCCCGGTGGACAACCGGCTGAGGTCCTCCGAGAGCCCTCCCCGCGACGACGAAACCGGCGAGACGAAGTCGCCGCCGCTAGCGGGAGAAGAGAACTCTCCGAACCCGCGTGCGGACCCGCCGACGTTTTCCTTGTACGTCGCTCCCCCCGACGCCGCGGCGAGCGCGCCCGCGGCGCTTCGTCCCCCCCCGTCCGCGCCGCCTCCCTCGTACCGCCCGTGCGGGGACACCCCCGCGGCGAGGTACGACACCGGTCGAACCCCGTCGAACGACTTCCTCGTCAGCGCTTCCATCGCGAGCTGGTTGCCGCCGACCACCTCGACGCCTCGGATGGCGTGTCCGGGGACGACGATCAGCGGGTCTCTCTCCAGGTTGATCGCGCTCGCGGGTTGGCCTTTGATTAACGCTCGTCGCGGCTGCGTTACGCGATGATTGGATTGGATTGGATATTGGATTGAATTGAGGAGGGGCGCGCGTTAGACGGGAGAACGGCGGGGATGGGTCGGTCGTCGCGGGCGGGGCGCGCGCGGCGGCGGGAGACGCGAACGAGGACGGAATGATTATTCGGAAGCGAAGCAGCCGTCGCTCGAAGGGGGGGGCGATCCGCGGACGAACCTTGAGCAGCGCGACGGAGAAGTTCACCGGGTCCACGGTGTAGACGATCCCCATCCGCGTGGACGCGTCTCCGAGGGTTATGATCACCTCTTGTCCGATTAACGCCTGATGCGTGGGAGTTACGTTACGACGAGGGAGAGAGGTCAGGGGGCGGGATTATCGTGACACTTGGCTTCGAAAGTTTGACGGCGTCGAGAATGGAATGGGGGTTGCCGAAGCGACGGCGCGACGCGGCGACGCGACGCGCGGCCGCGCCGTCGCCGCTTCGCGCGGGAAACGCGAGCAGATCTCGAGATCGCACCTTGACGTGATTCGTGTTCAGCGCGGAGAGGTTCTGTGGAGAGGAACGGCGTCGAGGAGGAGCGCGGGCGTCAGCGACGACGCATGTCGAACGGCGGCGGCGAAGAGGCGTGCGCCGACGGCGGCTGATGCCTCGATATGAAAAGTCGGACACGGCCGAAAGCCGCGCGCGATGGCGCGCGCGAGCGCGGGAACGGTCCGAGAGCGGTCGCGCACCTCGAAGTGAGACGCGTTCGAGCTGTTCATCGCGGTCTCGGCGACCATGACGCGCGGCGCGGCGTCGGCGGCGGCGAAGATCCGCGCGGCGTTCGAGCGGGGATAGTTCGCTGCCCGTTCAGTTTCCGGCGCGCGCGCGGGTCGGGAACGCGGGTATCCGACGCGCGCTCAGATCCCTCGCGCGCGGTCGCGGTCGAGATCGATGAAACACGCGGCGAAGGACGGTTTCGCGCGGTCGCGCGAGCCCTTCGTCGTTCGCGTCCGTCCGCGCGCGCGTGCAATGCCGCGCGACGGCTGGGTGTGTTAGTAGGGGTATGCATCTGGATGACTTGTTCAAAAAGCTACAAACCGCGTAGTACGAGCGCTGACTGTTTGCTCGTAGCGCCGTATCCACTCGTCCACATACGCCGTGACTCAGCAGAAATCTTCTGCAGAAGATTTTTTGTTGGATATTTTTCCCCGCCGCCACCGTCGTCGTACTCGTACTCGTACGCGTTCTCGGTCAGAATCGGCAGATCCTACGTCGTACGAAATTTCGTACTTCTCCCGCCCGATTTCACGTCGGCGGCGCTTTTGCACACGTCGCATAAGCCCTAGCTTTTTTATGCGTGAAGACTTGGGGTTCGCTCGGCGGTCGGCGGCGGCGAGCGGAGAAAGCCACGACTTTGAACCCAGCGCTCCTGCCGTCGATCGCTCTCTCTCGCACGCGCCGGCCTCACCCTCGACGCACGCATCCCCGATGGCCGCCACCGCCGCAATGCCCGTCGTGGCGCCCCGCGCCGCCGTCGCTCGCGCCGGTGCGTCCTCGCGCGACGTCGCTCGTCCGTCCGCCGCGGCGCGGCGCGGCGCGACCCGCGAACGATCGTTCGTTCGTTCGATCGCGGCACCGTCGTCGTCGTCCGCGATCGCTTTTCCGCCGCCGACCCGACCGCCGACGCCTCCGTCTCTTCTCCTCCTTCCTCTCTTCTCCGACGTACGTCGCAGGCAAGCGCGCCGCCGCGAACAAGCGCGCGTCCACGACGCGCGCGATGGCGACGCCGTCGAAATCCCCGAACGGCGCCAAGCCGCGCGCGCTCATCAGCGTCAGCGACAAGACGGGCATGACGAACCTCGCGGCGGAGCTCGCGAAGCTCGGGTACGAGGTCGTCAGCACCGGCGGCAGCGCGAAGGCCATCTCCGACGCGGGCGTGGACGTCACCGCGGTGGACGCGATCACGAACTACCCGGAGATGCTCGACGGCCGCGTGAAGACGCTCCACCCCGCGGTACACGCCGGCATCCTCGCGCGCCGCGACGTCGCGTCGCACGTCGACGCGGTGACGACGCACGACATCGGATACGTCGATATCGTCGCGGTGAACCTGTATCCGTTCCGCGAGACGGTCGCCAGCGGCGCGGGGTTCGAGCGATGCGTGGAGAACATCGACATCGGCGGCCCGGCGATGATCCGCGCGGCGGCGAAGAACCATCCGTTCGTCTACGTCCTGGTCGACGCCGCCGACTACGGTCCGCTGATCGAACACATCAAGTCGAACCCGTCCGACGCCGACGACCTCGCGATGCGCAAGAAGCTCGCGTGGAAGGCGTACCAGCACTGCGCGTCGTACGACGCCGTCGTCGCGGAGTACCTCTGGAGCGAGATTGGCGACGGCGCGCCCGCGCCGGAGCTCTGCGTCCCGATGACGTTGGCCGATACGCTTCGCTACGGCGCGTGACTGCTTCCCATACGCTCCCGTTCGCGTGGTGCACGCCGTTCCTTAAGGCGTTTTATCGCGCGCTGTGGACCTCACGTTTTGACACGTGGGAATGATATCCACCAATCGCATCCCCTCGTGACTGACGCGCGTCTTCCCCTCGACCAATCGATCGCAGGCGAGAACCCGCACCAAGCCGCCGCCGTGTACTCGGACGCGTCGCTCGCCGAAGCCGGCGGCGAGGGCGTCGGCCGCGCGACGTTACACCACGGCAAGGAGATGAGCTACAACAACTACCTCGACGCGGAGGCGGCGTACTCGTGCGTCAGCGACTTCCCTACCTCGGACCCGACGTGCGTCGTCGTCAAGCACACCAACCCGTGCGGCGTCGCGTCCGCTTCCGGATGCGGCGGCGACGTCCTCGAGGCGTACAGAGCCGCGGTGCGAGCGGACCCGATCAGCGCGTTCGGCGGGATCGTCGCGTTCAACTGCGAGGTCACGGAGGAGATGGCGAAGGAGATCAGAGAGTTCCGCTCGCCGACGGACGGCGAGACGCGGATGTTTTACGAGATCGTCATCGCGCCGGCGTACACGGAGGCGGGCCTCGCGACGCTCAAGGGCAAGTCCAAGAACCTGCGCATCCTGGAGGCGAAGCCGCGGACGCCGTCGAGCACGCTCAGGCAGGTGGGCGGCGGGTGGCTCCAGCAGCAGAGCGACTCGCTGCTCCCCGAGGACATCGAGTTCACGACCGTGTCCAAGACGCAGCCGACGCCGGACCAGGCGCGTTCGTTCTCCTATTCGCACTGGTTCCCATGCGACCGCGTTCGCGCGGTGCACGCCGTTTCTTAAGGACTTCACTTCCCGCGCGCGTGACTCTCCGTCCGCGCCTCGGTTTCGATCCCGACACACCGCGACGCCCGCCTCGCGACTCCACATCTGACGCCTTTCGACTCCGCCCCGACGTCGCTTCGTATGGGCAACGACCCTCAGATCGAGGCGCTCAAGTTCGCGTGGAGGTGCGTCAAGCACGTCAAGTCCAACGCGATCACGGTCGCGACGAAGGGGCGCCTGCTCGGGATGGGCAGCGGGCAGCCGAACCGCGTGAACTCCGTGCGAATCGCGCTCGAGAAGAGCGGCGAGGAGACGGAAGGGAGCGTGCTCGCGTCGGATGCGTTTTTCCCCTTCGCGTGGGGCGACTCCGTGGAGAAGGCGTGCCAGGCGGGCGTGAAGGCGATCGCGCATCCGGGCGGGAGCATGCGCGATCAGGACGCGGTGGACTGCTGCGATAAGTACGGCGTCGCGCTCGTCGTCACGGGGCACCGTCACTTCCGTCATTAAGCGGAGGAGAAGGAGGAGGAGGAGGAGGAGGGAGCGGGTCGACGGGACGGACGCCCTCGCGATTTATTTTATTTGAAAACCGCGCGCGCGCGGCGCATTCACATCACGTCATCGCGACATCGCGCCCCCGGCGAACGATCATCGCGTCGCGTCGCATCGCGTCGCATCGCGTCGCATCGCATCGCTCGCTCATTTATCCTCGCCCGGGTACGGGTCCGATTTCACGTCGATCACGGGCTCGATCGACGGCGGCCCGTCGCGCGTCGGCCGCTTTTCAATCACCGTTCCGGTGACGTCGAGAAACAAGCCGTCCTTCACGCCGCCGCCGCCGCCGCCGCCCGCCGCCGCCGCCCTCAGGCGAGCCTTGACCTCGTTCGCGTCCCACTTCTCGCCGATCCTCTCCCTGAGCTTCTCCCTCGCGACGGCCTCGTCGTCGTCGTCGTCTCCCTCCGCCGCGGCGATCCGCGCCTTGTACTTCTTGAGTCTGTTCGCCGCGACGACGGCGACGACCCACGCCGACGCGCCCGCGGCGACGGCGCCGCCGCCGACCCACAGCGCCGTGCTCGCGGTGACGCCGCCGATCGTCGTGACGCCGCCGAGGTCCACGTGCGGCACGACTTGTGGGAGCGACGGCGGGTGCGCGACGCGGTGCTCGCGCGTCACCGTCGGGGGTTTCGCGGAGCGCGGCGTCGGCGGAAGCAAGCCTGTGGTGCCCGGCGCGAATCCAAAATCTGGCTCCGCGATGACGTCCTCTCTTCCTCCGGGCCCACCGATTCGGCCGCGCGCCGCCTTGCCTTCCCTCGCGCCGAGCTCCAGGATCCTGCGCTCTCTCAGGTACGCCTCGCGCGACTCGACCCCCCATCCCCCGGACGGCTTCACGCCGTAGAACCGTTGCCAGTTCTTCACCGCGTTGACCTGGCGTGGGTGAAGCGATCGGTCAGTCGAACGTCTTAGCGGTCAAACGTTGAAAGGGAAGCGCGGGTGAAGAGTGACGACGGGAAAAGTCCTCAAGGAACGGCGTGCACCACGCGAACGCGGTCGTACGGGAAGCAGTCTGTCTCACCGTGATCGGACCAAAGTATCCCGTCGCGCCGTCTCGGTACTTGTAGTGCCCCTCCCCGGCGAGATACCGCTGCAGCTCCGCGACTCGCTCCGAGGTTTCGCCCTCGCACATGTATTCGACCCCAAAGTCGTGCACGTCCACGCCCGCGCCGCGCAGGCGCTCGAGCTCGCCGAGGAAGTTGGGCGGCGCCGCGGGTGGGTATCCGAATCCGCTCGATGTGGACGTCGACGCGCCGCCTCGCTTCGCGCGGCAGGCGAGGTGCGACGCGCGAAGACGCGACGCGGCCGTGGTCGCGGAGCCTGAGGACGTTCTCGACGAGAAGCTCGAGGTATCGCGCGAGGGGGACGACCATCGCGGCGACGCGCGCGCGAGCGGCGAGGACGCCATCCCGTTGATCGGATTGGATTTCTTCTTTCTTCTTCGCGCCTTCTCGGCGGCCACCGCACCGATCGGTCGGCTGCTGGAACGATCGACGATCGACGATCGGGGGCGCGAGGACCGACGCCGACCGCGGAGGCGCGCGAGACGGCGACGCGCTCGAGTCTCCGCGGCGAAGGAAAACTTCTTCGCGCGCGACGACGGCGTTCGACGCGCGCGGCGTGCGCGCGCGCTGTGCCGCGACGCTCCGCGGGACCTCCCAATTCGTTCTGTTCTTCCCGCCTTGTCGTCGCGACGCGTGCGCACCGACCGCGCGCGGCGACCGCCGCGCGATACCAGCGAAGTTTCGCCGCGTCGTCTCCGCATTCGCGCACCTCGCGCCCTCGCGCGACCACCAGGCGCGCGCCCGCGACGCGATGTTCGGCGCGCCGAAGCACCGCGGGGACGGGAAAGACCGGGCGAAGCCGCGGCCGGAGTCCGGTGCGTCGTCGATCGCGCGCGCGCGCGGCGTCCGTCGTCGTCGTCGCGTCGTTCGATCGCCCGCGATGAGCGCGAATTTCGCCCCGACCGACGATTGCATTCGCGCCCGCGAGGATGCATGGATCCGTCGACCGATCGATCGATCCATCGCGCGCCCCCGCGCCATAACTCGAGTCCCAAACCTGACTTCATCCCCGCCGTCGCCTCCCCGTCCAAACCCTCCTCCTCCAGCGCCTCCGAGGCGAACGCACGGCCCCGCGCACCACCCCGCGCCTCCGCGCCAGCTCGTCGAGGCGGTCCGCGCGCGATACCCACTCTGGGCCACCCTCGGCATCGACGCGCTCGCGCTCGCGCGCCAGCGCGCGCTGCCGTGGCTCCTGAAGCAGATCGAGGACGTGTACGACGAGCGGTACGCGCACGACGTCGCGGAGCTCGAGTTCGCGGCCGGGTGCGTGCGCGACGAGAAGAAGAAGAGAGGAGGAGGAGGAGGAGGCGGTACAGCCGGCGGCGACGCGGACGACGAGTCGGACGCGGCTGCGGCGATCATCGAAGCCGCGCTCGCGCCGAGGCCGTTCCCCGAGTACGTCCTCGCGCACTGCGCGCGACGGTACGGCGTCAAGTCTCTCGCGGAGAAGGCGGCGTGGGAGCTCATGTGCAACGCGGAGGCGGCGAGGAGCGCGGGAGCGCACACGTCCGTGGATCTGTTTTGCGCGTTTTGCAACCGCGGATACGACGACGAGGAGCTGATGTTCTTCCTCTACGTCCGACAGGTGCGCGGCGCGCGTCGTCCGACACGGACACGACACTTTCGCGTGACATCTCATCTCGACCGCGCGATCGTCCACGTGGATTTCAAATCTTTTCGCATCCGATCGCGCGCCGACCAATCGAATCGATCCCTCACCGCGAATCGAATCCATCGACAGCAACTCTTGTCGGCGTGCGCGAGAGCGCTGCCGCGGGTGGACGTGCACGACGTGAAAGGCGCGTCGCAGCGGTTCCTCGCCGGGCCGCCGGCGCCACCGCTGCCTCCCGCGATCGCGCTCACGGAGAAGCGCGCGAGGGACGTCACGCGGAGCGTCTTCGGCGGCGCCGTCGCGGACGGGATGCTCTGTCAGGCGGTGTTGCAGCTCGTCGGCGATTTTTTCAAGGAGAAACGCGAAGAGGCGTCGCGCGAGAAGAAGGGCAAGGGCAAAGGCAAGGGCAAGGGCGGCGGATCCGGGAGAGGCGGCGTGGACGCCGCCGCGGAGGCGACGATGGAGGCGTACTACTACCTCAAGCTCATGCTGAGCGCGTACCGGGACACGCGGCCGGACGGCGGCGGCGAGGACGACCCGTCCGCGGCGCCCGCGGTCGCCGCGCGAGAGGAAGCGCTCGACCGGCTGTTCATCGGCGAGGACGTGGACGCGGCGCCGTCGGTGACGACCGCGGACGGCGGTGACGACGTCTCGACGTCCCCGGGGCGGGCGTCCGGCGGCGGATGGGGCGCCGGCGGTGCGACGTCGGCGGCGACGGCGGCGGCGGCGACGGCGGCGGACGCCGCATTTCGCGCCGCCTCGCCCGCGAGAGAAACTAACTCCCCCTCTGGGAAACTCTCCGTGGACCCGAACGGGACGTACGTCAAGCTCGTGCGACGCGCCATCTCGAACAGCTGCGGGATGTACTGCGACGTGTACCTGATCCAGGTGGCGCGAGACGTCGCGCCCGCGACGTTCGCGGAGATCAAAGCCAAGGCGACGGCGGAGCTCGACCGACGCGCGCAGGGGCTGTTTTCCGGCGCGCTCGCGGCCGCGTTCCCCGGCGTCGTCGTCGTCGAGAGTGTTGACGATGTTAACGGCGGCGACGGCGCCGCGGCCCACGTGGCGGCGTCGGAGCCCGCGCTCGTGGAGACGACGCGGCGGAGCGTGTCGGCGTTGATGCGTCGCGGCGCGAACGCGACGGGCGCGGGGGGGAAGGACGCGAAGGACGTGGCGAAGCAGATCTTGGCGACGAAGACGATACGAGCGACCGTGGAGCCGATGCTGTCGCGGCTGCTGTCGGAGCTCCCGGAGGACGAGTTCGATGAGGAGGAGGAGGAGGAGCAGGAGAACTTGGATTGATCGTAATCTCTACTGTAAGGTATCACGCGACGACGTCCGACCGTCGCCGAAAAAAATACCGCCCGTCTCGTCGCGTCGCGTCCACTTTTTGACAGCTCGCGTCGATTCAACGTACGTTCTGCTTCGTTCGCTCACGCCGCCGCGAGCTCGGCCTCGAGTGCGTCCACTTCGTCTTGCGCGTAGGTGGCGCCGAGCTCCACCGCGACGCGGTGCCACTTCAGCGCCTCCGTTTTGTTCACCGCCACGTCCCTAAACGCGTCGTTGTCCCGGCTCGCGTCTCCCGCGTACCTCCTCGCGTACGGGCCGTATCTGTAGATGAACCCGAGCGCATACGCGGCCCCTTTTTCACCCAACTCGGCCGCTTTGACGTACAGCTCGAGCGACTTCACTATATTTTTCTCCACGCCAAGGCCCTCCACGTAGCACCCCGCGAGGTAGTAGGTAGCTTCGGCGTGCCCACACCTGGACGCCCTTTCGAACCACTCGACCGCCTTCGTCACGTCTCTCTTCACGCCGTACCCATAGAGGTAGCAGCTTCCGATCCAGCAAATGGCGTCGGCGTCTCCAGTCGCCCTGCGCCACCAGTAGACCGCACGCTTCCTCTTCCCCGCGTCGTAAAGCCCTCGACCGAGCTCGAATAACGCCCTCGGAGAGCCCCCAGGCAACGACGCGTCAGACTTCTCCGCGTCCCTCCACACCTTGCTCACCTGGGCGAGCGCGACGCGGTCTCGCGGGTCGTCCCCGAGGTGCGAGAACACGACGGCGGCGACGTTCTCGGGTATAGTGTTGAAACCGGTGCTCGAGCGCGTTTGCATGGCTCGGATCTGGGCTGGGGGCGGCGGCGGGGGCGCGCGAAAGACTGAAGCTTTTTCCTCGTCAGCGTCAGGTTCTGCCTGGCGCGGCGCGGCTCTATGATAGCAGCTCCAGTCAGATTCGAACTTTCCGTTCGTCGTCAACGATCGTTTTTTCCGCCCGCGTCCCGAGTCGTCCTCCGCGTCGTCCTCCGTCCACAGCGCGCCGCGCGTCGGGACGGAGGTCGCGCGCGGGATCGACTCGAGGCGCGTCGACGGTCGCGCGCGCGAGCGACGCGCGCGGACGTATCGCGTCTCGCGGCTCGGTCCTCGAGATCGATTCGATCGACGAAAGCCGCGAGTTCGGCACCCGTCGTTGTTGATTCGACTCGGTCGACGCGCGCGATGCCGCCGAAGCCGCCGCCGCCGCCGCCGCCGCCGCCGCCGCCGCCCGGCGCGAAGGGCGACGCCGCGCCGCCGTCGAAAGAACCCGACGCGGAGAAGCCGCACTGGACGAACGACAAGAACGAGAAGCGAAAGGCGAACCCGCCGCGCGAGCTCACCAAGGCGAACCTCGCGAATCAGCGGAGCCAGCCGTGGCAGGCGCGGATGCCGCCCGCGGTGTCGCACAAGGGGAACACGGAGGTGCTGCCCCTCGGCAGAGAGGGCGCGGTGTGCGAGCTGTGCGGGATGCCCGGGCACGACGCGGACGTGTGCGCGGACCGACCGCCCGCGCCGAGGCCGAAGCTCACCCTCGACCTGAGCGCGGTTGGCGCGGCTGGCGCGGCGGCGGCGGCGGCGGACGCGCCCGAGGCGGAGCCGTCCTACGGCGACATCCCGGACTCGCCGTCGCACCAGTTCCCGGCCGCGAGCGCGAAGGAGATCGCCCGCCAGGAGGAGAAGAAGAGAGCGGAGGTGGCGAGGATAAAGAAGGAGCGCGCGGACGCGAAAGAGGCGGCGCTGTTGAAAGGCGCGTTCTATACACTGGTCCCCATACGACCGCGTTGGCGTGGTGAACGCCGTTCCTTAAGGACTTTGCCCGGCGTATCTCTGCGCCCACCCCTCGCTTTCAATCCCCGCCCTCGACGCCTTTCAACTCCAACTGACGCCTTTCAACTCCACCCCGACATTCGTTCTGGCGTGCTGTTGAAAGAGCTGGAGGCGGCGCGTCTCGCGGACGGCGGCGGCGGCGGCGGCGTCGACGACGACGACGACGACGACGACGACGCGCCGGCGTACGCGCCGCCGCCGCCGATGCTGCCGCCGAAGGAGGACGTGAAGGAGGACCCGATCACGGAGGGTCTCGCCGGGTTCGAGGACGCCGCGAAGCGGTTCGATTGGGAGAAGGACGCGAGGGAGAAAGCCGAGGCGAAGGCGCGGCGGGTGCGTCACGAAAAGCTCGAACGCGCGGTTCACAAAGCCGCGCACTTGGAAGACCTGGCCGAATCGTTCGAGGTGATGCAACTGAAGCGGCAGGTCATGGAGAAGAACGCGAAGACGCAGCACGCGAATTTCAACCGGTTTCGGCAGCAGAACGTCGAGTTCGCGGCGGACCCCGGGGACGATCCGCTCGCGGGAGAGCACCCGAGGATCCCGGGTGTGCCTAAATTTTCGTACGGACACTACCCCGTCAAGGACATCGTCTCCGAGGCGCTCACGCGCGCGGTCGTCCTCGAGGAGCAGCAGCGGAAAGATAATATCACCGCGGAGAAGTTCGGGCGCGAGCTCACGCAGACGGCGATCACGACGCTGATCGACGACGAGGGGGAGGCGACGCGGCAAGAGCTGATCAAGGCGCGTTCTCATCACACTGGTTCCCATACGGCCGCGTCGGCGTGGTGAACGCCGATCCTTGAGGACTTTCTCTCCCGGCGATTCTCTCCGCCCAGGGTCCCTCGCTTTCAATCCCCGCCCTCGACGCCTTTCAACTTCAACTGACGCCTTTCAACCCCACCCCGACGTCGCTTTGTATGGAATGGCCCCAAGGACGCGCTCGCCGGCGGCGCGGATGCGTTTCGCGAGGCGATGACGCTCATGAAAGCGGACGCGGACGCCTTCAGAGCGCAGCTCGAGGAAGCGGTCGAGGACGCGGTCGCCACGGAGTCGACGCACAAGGCGCGTATCGGCGCGCTGGAGTCCGAGATCGAGGAGGAGCGGGCGAAGAGCGCGAAGGCGGCGGAGGAGGCGGCGGCGGCGCGCGCGGAGCTCGCCGCTTCCGTCGTCGAGTTCGAGACGATCAGAGACGAGTTCGAGGGCGAGAAGAAGCTGATTCTCGACGCCGCGGACGCGACGAAGAGGGCGTCCAAGCTCGCCGCGAAGAGAGTCGCGGACGACGCGGAGGCGCTGCGCGTTGAGCTGCTCGGCGTTCGACGCGCCGCGGACGCCGAGGCGGCGGCGAATCGAAACGCGCTCGAGTCTCTGCGTCGGCAGATCAAGCGCTTGGAAAACGACGCCGTCGAGTCGGAGCGCGCGGCGATCGACCACCTCGGCGCGGTGAAGAGGGACCTCGCGAGCGCGAGAGCGGACGCGAGAGAGGCGGAGAGGGCGCGCGCGGAGTCGGAGCGGCGGACGAGGGACGCGGAGGCGAGGGCGGCGGACGCCGAGTCGCGCGCCGCCGCCGCGGAGGCGTCCGAGCGGAAGCTCATGGCGATGCAGAAGAAGGCGAACGCGCTCGCGAGGGAGCGCGAGGGGAAGGAAGCGGAGGCGGCGAGAGAGGCGGCGCGCGCGGCGAGAGCGGAGAAGCTCGCGGCGTCGGCGGCGTCGGCGTCGGCGTCGTCGGCGTCGTCGTCGGCGGCCAATCAGAACGCGCCCCCGGCGACCGCGGCGGCGGCGGCGAAGAAAAAATCGCCGACGGCGTCCAAAGCTGCCAAGGCGAGACCGACCGACCCCGCGCTGCAGGCCGCGCGCGACGCCGCGGTGAAGGACGCCGCCGCGGAGGTGGAGCGCGAGCGCGTCGCCGCGGCCAAAGCGCTCGCGGACGCGAAGCGCGCGCGAAGGAAAGCGATCGAGGCGGAGGAGATTTCCGCGGCTCGACTCGGCGCGCTCGCGCCTCCGCACCTCAAGACGTTGAAGCTGGCGTCGCGCGCGTTCGTCGTCGCGAGCGACGGCGACGGCGACGGCGAGGCGGACGGAGGTTTCGACGCGAGGGACGCTTTGGTCGAGATGCTCGGCGCGAGGCACGACATCGCGACGACGACGCGGCCGAACGGTGTGGACGCGGCGCCCGCGCGCGCGGGCGCCGCCGCCGCCGTCGTCGTCCTCGCCACGTCCGCGGCGAGGGCGGACGAGCGCGCGCGGCGCGAGATCACCGCCGCGCTGACGCACGACCCGCCGCGGCGCGTGATCCTCCTCGTCGCGCGCGGCGACGACCGCGGGCTGTCCGGGCTCGTGCCGGAGGATGTGTTGAGGGACGCGAGCGTCGAGGACGGAGCGGTGGAGATCATCCCGTGCGAGATGCGCGGCTTCGTCGCCGCAGCCGCGCGCGACGCCGACGCCGCGGGCTTCGCCGCCGACGCCGACGCCGCGGTCGCCGCGGTCGCGCGATGCATGGGCGCGCCGGACGCGTTCCTCGCCTCCTTACCCGCGTCGTCGCTCGCGTCCATCGCGTCCGCGAGGGACGCGCCGTTGGACCTCTCCGGTTTGGGCGCGTTGACGACGTTGACGGCGCCCGCCGGCGACGGCGACGCGTTGCGTCGCGTGTTGAGCGCGCCGTCGTGCCGTCTCAGGGCGCTCACGGCGACGCGCGCGCCGAGCGGCGCCGTCGCGGGCGCGATCGCCGCGAGCGCGATGGAGTGCGCGTCGTTGCGGACGCTGTCGTTCGGCGGCGCGACGTTGCCGATCGCGGAAGCGAGAGCGGGGAAACTTGGACTCGGCGGATGGGACGGTCGCCTGGACCTCAGCGGGACGACCGACCGTCCTTCCTCGGAGGCGGCGACGGCGACGGCGACGGAGGAGCCGCGCGTCGCGGAGTGCGAACTCTGCGCGCTGCGCGCGATGTTCGCGCCCGAACGCGGCGGATGCGGCGGCGCCGTGCGCGAGGTGACGTTGCACGCGAAGGCGTCGGCGGCGACGACGCGCGCCGTCGTCGCGGCGATTCGAGGCGCGTCGGATTCGGATCCGGACGCGACGACGCCGCATCCGTCCGTGAACGGCGTGCCGGCGGTCCTCTCCCCGGATTCGGACGACGTCGTGGACCTGAGCGGGATGGCGTGCGGCGCGCCGGGGCTCGTCGCCCTCGCCGTCGCGCTCGAGACGGGACCCACGGAAACGGAGACTCGCGCCGCGTCCCTGTCGACGCTCTCGCTCGGCGGGTCGAGCCTCGGCGGCGCCGACGCCGGCGCCGCGCTCGCCGCCGCGCTCGCCTCCCCCGCGTGCGCGAAGCTCCGGCGGCTGCTCCTCCCCGGCGCCGCGCTCGGGCCCTCGGGCGTGCGCGCGGTGTGCGACGCGCTGCCTCCGTCGCTCGAGACGCTCGATCTGGGGTCGAACGCCGCGGGCGACGACGCCGGCGCCGCCGCGGCGACGGCGTTGAGGCGGTGCGCCGCGCTGGCGACGTTGTCCGTCGCCGCGAACGAGATCGGGCCCGAGGGGGCCAAGGCGCTCGCGCCCGCGATCCGCGATCACGCGTCGCTTCGAGAGCTGCACTTGAACGGCAATCGCGTCGGGGATAAGGGCGTGACGAGCCTGTGCGTCGCGATCAAGACGACGAAGGCGCCGTTCGCGCGGTTGATACTCAGCGAAAATTTCAACGTCACCGCCGGCGGGATGAAGCCGCTCGCGTCGCTGGTTTCGACCTCGCGCACGTTGACCGAGTTGAACCTGTCGAGGGTCATGATCGGCGCCGAGGGCGCGAAAGCGCTGTGTGTCGGGCTGAGAGACCCGGCGTGCGCGCTGAAAGTGTTGGAGCTCGGCGCGTGTAAGCTCCGCGCGGACGGCGCGAAGCACCTCGGCGACGCGATTCGCGCGAACGCTTCCATACTTCGCCTTGGTCTTTCCAGGAACTCGTTAGGGGATAAGGGCGTCTTCGAGCTCGTGGCCGGGGGGCTGGAGAGCGCCAAGTCGCTCGTGGAGCTCGACGTGAGGGACAACGCGATCGGTCCAGAGGGGGCGAAGCGTCTGACGACGGCGTTGAGGACGAAGAATTTCACGCTGCGCGCGTTGGCGTTTTCCGGGAATAAGTTGGACGACGTGAAAACGGCCGCGCTCGTGGCGTTAGCGATGAGCACGACGCGAGGCGTGCGATTGAAACCGCAGGTCGTCGCGGCAGGAAACGCGGAGGAGAAGTCCGCGAACCCGGTCACGTCGAAGGAGGCGGAGGGCGACGAGAACAAGCTTCCGGAGACGGCGGCGGCGGCGGCGACGAAGCCGCCGTCGCCGGCGCGGCAGATCGCGACGTCTTCGGAGGAGGACTTCATCGAGGAGGATCTGCCCGAGGAAATAGACGACTAGGAGCTCGGTAGCAGTATGATACAGCGCGACTCGCAGTTCGCCGCGTGAACGAAAAACAAAACGTAACGTAACGTCCAATTCACAGGAGTTTCACCTCGAGCGCGCCGTCCTCCTCGGCGGCGGCGTCCGCGAGTTGAATCACCGCGCCGACGCGTAACCCCCCCTCCGCGGTGCTCATCGCGCTCAGATCGTCGCATAGCATCGCGGTCCTCCATCCCCAGCCCTTCGGCGCGCGCGGCAGCGTCGTCGCCTTCGTGCTCGGGGCCAAGCTTCCGAGTCGGACGATCTCCGACTTGGAGGGGCACAGCAGTTCGTACCGAACGCTCACCGTCTCTCTCGCGTCGCAGTACCCTGAGGGTCAAAACATACAAAAATAGTTCATCGGTCAGTTGAAAAGAGACGCGATCAAGTGTTGAAACCGATCTGGGTGAAAATCGTTTGCAGAACGCACCGGACACCTGCAGCCGCGCGTGGTTCACGTCCGACGACGACGGCGACGACGACGGCTCGCCGGCGACGCTCTGCGCGTGCGGCTGCGACCGGGAGCCGCCGCCGCCGCCGCCGCCCGTCGTCGCCGTCGCGTGCGTCAGCGCGGAGTCCACCGCGCTCAGGTTGAACGACGCGGGCGAGTGCGGAATGAGCGGGTCTCTCGCCGGCCGTCGATGCAGAAACAGGCCGAGCGTCTTTCGACCCTTCGGGTCCTCGTCCGAGAAGGCTTGGACGTTGAAGTACGGGGTGGAGTTGAAAGGCGTCAGTTGGAGTTGGAAGGCGTCGAGGGCGGGTATTGAAAGCGAGGTGTGGGCGGAGAGATGCGCCGGGAAAAGTTCTTAAGGATCGGCGTTCACCACGCCAACGGGGTCGTATGGGGACCAGTGTGTAGAACGCACCTTGGACGGAGACTTTCCACAGCGACCCGGCGTAGAACTCCTCCACGCTGTGCCGCGCCTGGCCGTCCGCGAGGGACAGGACGTCACCCATCTCGACGCCGAACCGGAACGGGAGCTCCGTGCCGTCGAGCGTTTTGCCGCGATGCGCCGCCGTGGCGGCGGCGGCGGCGGCTCTGCCCCCTCTCGACGACAAGGCGTTTTTCCCTCCCCTCGACCCGCCGCCGCCAGCCCCGGTCCCGCGCGCGCTGGTAGCGAATGTCGGGGTGGAGTTGAAAGGCGTCAGAAACGGAGTTGAAAGGCGTCGAGGGCGGTTATTGAAAGCGAGGGCTGGGCGGAGAGAGACGCCGGCAAAAGTCCTTAAGGATCGGCGTTCACCACGACAACGCGGTCGTATGGGGACCAGTGTATAGAACGCACCTAGTCCCGGCGCCGCCGTCCGCGCGCTTCTTCATCGGCGACGCGGACGACCCCGCGGCGCCCGCGGCTCGGTTCGAGACCCCCGCGCGCGCGTCGTCGTCGTCGTCGTCGTCCTCGTCGTCCTCGTCGTCCTCGTCGCTCTCCCCGCGCGCGCCCCCGCCGCCATCTTCGATTTCGATTCTGCTCAAGCTCTCGTCCACCCGCGACGGCGGCGCGCGCGCGCGACTCGGCGCGTCCGCGTCGCTCGCGCCCGCGCCGCGCTCGCTCCCGTCTCTCCCCTGCGCCGCGGCGACGTGCGCTTTCAGCAGCGTCTGCGCCCACAGTCCGTCGACCACCGCGCGCGTCGGCGACGTCGCCGCCGCGTCCGCCGCCGCGCTCACCGCGTTGACCGCGTCGGCGGCGCCGACGCCCGCCTCCCCTCGCAGCGCCGCCTCGCCCAGCGCGGCGACCATTGACCCGAGGCACGCCGCTTTGAAGTCGCCGTCCTCGAGCTCGAGCTCGGCGCGTATCGCGAGCAAGTCCGCGAACGGGAGGTGTTGGTAGTTGACGCACGCGGACAGCGCCTCGGCGCGCAACGCGACGGCGGCGGGGTCCGGGCCGCCGTCGCCGTCGCCGTCGCCGTCGCAGCTCTCTTCCAGCAGCCGCGACGTGACGTCCGCGACGAGCTCGAACCGCGCGCGCTCGTTCGCGACCCACAGGTCGTTCGATCGCAGCAGCTTCAGCAGCGTCGTCGGGCTGAGGTGGTGCAACGTCCCTCGCAGCTCCTTCGCGCCGCGCGCGCACGCGAACCCCCAACACGCGGCGGCGACTGAACGTCGGGGTGGGGTTGAAAGGCGTCAGATGGAGTTGAAAGGCAACGCGGGCGGGGATTGAAAGCGAGGCGTGGGCGGAGAGAGACGACGGGAAAGTCCTTAAGGAACGGCGTTCACCACGCCGACGGGGTCGTATGGGGACCAGTGTGAGATGAGATAGAACGCGCCTCTCTCGCCCGGGTCGCCCATCCCGAACGCGCTCTGCTCGCACAGGTTTTGGTATCGCAGGAACGTCCGCTCGTCCACGTCCGCGACGATGAAGTCCGCGCAGATATCGCACAAGTCTCGGAGGTCGAGGAACGACCCCGCGGCGAGCACGCGCGGCGCCGCGTCCGTCGTCAGCGTCGGCGGTTTGTCGTACAGAAACCCCAGCGTCGTCTCCACCGCGTCCACGTCGACGAGGTCGCTGACGTCGTCGAAGCGCAGGGTGAGCGTCGGCGACGACGCGTCGAGCCACGGGCCGCGCATGAGCGCGGCGAAGTACGGCGAGCGCGAGAGGACGAGACGATGCAGCGGGTAATCCTGCGGGGGGGGCGCGGGGGACGGAGGAGGGGAGGCGTGAGGCGCGAGGGGCGGGGTATCACACTGGTCCCCATACGACGGCGTCGGCGTGGTGAACGCCGATCCTTAAGGACTTCACTTCGCCCGGCGCATCTCTCCGCCCAGGGTCCCATGGGCGAGGCGCGAGGGGCGGGCGGGCGCGTCGTCGCGACCGCGTTGTTTAATTCCGCCGTCGCGTCGACGTCTCGGAGGATTGGGCGAACGCGCCGAGACGACGCGCGACGCTTCATCGCGACGCCGCTCGCGCGACGCTTCATCGCGACGCGACGCACCTTGCCCAGCGCGGAGACGACGACGTCGCTGAACTCGCGCTCCTCCCACCCCAAGCTCTGCACGTGCGCGGCGAGCCCGACGGAGGCGTCGGCGAGCGCGGCGCGACGCGTCGTCAGCGACGACGACGACGACGACGTCGCCGCGCTCGTCGCGCGCCGCGGCGACGCGTACGCGCCGGAGAGGAGCGCGTCGAGGTTGCCGTCCGCGTCGTCCTTCGCGACGTCCGCGTCGTGCGACGCGGACTGCGCGCCGGGATCGGACATCGCGACGAGGGCTGTGGGGGAGGCGCGCGCGTGCGAATGAATAATTAATGGAGCCGATGCGCTTCTGTTTGCGCTGGCTACACCGCCGACGAGGCCGCGGGCGGCTCCTTCTTCTCGGCCGGGGGTGTCGACGCGAACAGGGCGTTCAACGTCGTGTCGAACCCCCCGAACCACGACCCGGACGCGCCCGCGGACACCGGCTTCGGCGAGTTCGTCGCGGGGACAGACCCGGGGAGGACCCCGCCGCCGCCGCCGCCCGCGCCCGCGCCCGCGCCCGCGCCCGCGCCCGCCGCCGCCGCCGCCATCACCCGCGCGCCCTCCGCCCTCTTCGCCGCGTCCCCGGGGCGCTCGAACACCGGCGCCGAGCCGCTGTTACTCCGCGTGTGCTTCGGACGCAGCGTGCTCGGCCGCGCGGACGAGCCCCCGGGGAGAACGTCGAGGTGAACGCCGCCCGGGGTGGTCGTCGTCGCCCCGGGCGTCGACGGCGCCAGCCCCGGTCCCGCGCGCGCTGGTAGCGAATGTCGGGGTGGAGTTGAAAGGCGTCAGAAACGGAGTTGAAAGGCGTCGAGGGCGGTTATTGAAAGCGAGGGGTGGGCGCAGAGAGACGCCGGCAAAAGTCCTTAAGGATCGGCGTTCACCACGCCGACGCGGTCGTATGGGGACCAGTGTGAGATAGAACGCGCCTTGAGCTCCTCCTCCTCCACCCTCCGCCGCCGCCGCGGGCGTCTCCTCCGGCGGCCGCAGCGACCAGAACGCCACGCTCTCCGGCACCGTCGCCGCGCACTCCGCGATGTACCCCTCGAGCGTCACGACGCGCGCGCGGTGCTCGTCCGCGACCGCGCGCAGCGCGTCCTTCTCCGATCTCAGCTCCTCCGTCCGCGCTCTCGACGCGGCGTCCAGCGCCTCGATCTCGACGTCGCGCCGCGCGACTTCCTCCCTCAGCCTCCGCGCCTCGTCCGCGTCGGCGCCGCGGTCGCCGCCCTCTTGCTGCGCGCGCCACGCGTCGTAGCTCTCCGACGACGCCGCGCCCTCGGTCGCCTCCGCGCGCTCGAGCCGCGCGAGTCGCTCGTGGAGGAGCGCCACCTCGTGCTTCCACGCCTCTGCCTCTGCGATCTTCGCGTTCGCGACGCGCTCGGCGTCGTCGGCGCGCTCCTCCGCGGCGCTCACTCTGTCCTCCGCGTCGCCGAGCATGTCCGCGAGGAGTTTCTCGTAGTCCGCGACGCGGACTTGGATGACGGCGGACCCGCTGGCCGTCGCGAGGTCGGACGGCATGGCGTCAGCGGGGGGGGGGGGCCGCGGGGAGTGACCGGCGTCTCAACGGAACGTCGGTGAAGAGCTTTAAGCTGACGAGGAAAAAACTTCAGTCTTTCGCGCGCGCCCGCCGCCGCCCCCCGCCCAGATCCGAGCCATGCAAACGCGCTCGAGCACCGGTTTCAACGCGATCCCCGAGAACGTCGCCGCCGTCGTGTTCTCGCACCTCGGGGACGACCCGCGAGACCGCGTCGCGCTCGCCCAGGTGAGCAAGGTGTGGAGGGACGCGGAGAAGTCTGACGCGTCGTTGCCTGGGGGCTCTCCCAGTGCTTTGTTCGAGCTCGGCGAAGGGCTTTACGCCGCGTATGAGTTCAAGCGTGCTATCTACTGGTGGCACAGGGCGACTGGAGACGCCGACGCCATGTGCTGGATCGGACGCTGTTACTACAATGGGTTCGGCGTGAAGGAAGACGACACGAAGGCGTTCGAGTGGTTCGAAAGAGCGTCCGGGTGCGGGCACGCCGAAGCTACCTACTACCTCGCGGGGTGCTACGTGGAGGGCCTTGGCGTGGAGAAAAATATAGTGAAGTCGCTCGAGCTGTACGTCAAAGCGGCCGAGTTGGGTGAAAAAGGGGCCGCGTATGAGCTCGGGATCATCTACCACTGCGGCCGGTGCGGCGTGGCGGTGAACAAAACGGAGGCGTTGAAGTGGTACCGCGTCGCGGTGGAGCTCGGCGACACCTTCGTGCAAGGCGCTGTGACCAAACTCGAGGCCGAGCTCGCGACGGCGTGAGCGAACGAAGCATACCATGAGCTGAACAGACGCGAGCGTGCGAGCGTGCGCGACGTGCGAGCGTGAAAACGAAACGAACAGAACGTCGCGTTCAGACGACGCCTCGCCGCGCCTACTCGGTCTTTTACACCTCCGCCCTCTCCTCGTCACCACTTCGAAAACTTGTCGTGCCCCGACATCACGCGCTTGTACACCGGATCGTCCATCGCGTTCCCCCCCCCGTCCAGCGTCCGGCTCTTCCGCCACTCGCCCCCGCCCTTCCCGAACGACGTCGCGAACTGCTTCCGATCGAGCGCGAACTCCGCCGGCGCTCGGTGCTGAGGGTCGTTCCGTCGTTCAAAGCGACGTCGGGGCGGAGTCGAAAGGCGTCAGAAGTGGAGTTGAAAGGCGTCGAGGCGCGTCGGGATCGAAAGCGAGGGGTAGTGGGCGGAGAGAGAGAGACGCGCGCGGGTAGTGAAGTCCTTAAGGATCGGCGTTCACCACGCCGACGCGGTCGTATGGGAACCAGTGTGAGGAAGTAGGACGCGCCTGATGCTCCCGCCGCTCCGGCGCCGCCGCCGACCGCTGCCTCTCCAACGCCGCCCTCGCCGCCGCCGCCTCCGCGTCGCCGCCGTCGCCGCCGCGCTGCCGCTCGAGCATCGCCTGCTTCGCGAGCTCCGTCTCCTCGATGTTCCGCATCTTGTAGTCCATCGGGAGCTGCACCTCCACGATCCCGGTGAGCCACCGGTCCGCGGTCTCCGCGCCCTCGGTTTTTTTCGTCGACAGCTCCGCGGGCGTCTCCCACAGGCGCTCCTCGTCCGTCTTC